ATAAATAAATCTTAAATAAAAAAAATTAGGGCATAGAGATACCAGGTGTGAGATAATTGGGAATCCGATCATAGGATGACTTGCACAAACTAAATACCTAGGAAATGGAATTTAAGTTTTTAGAAAAAAACATTCTGAGAAAACATAAGAAATAAAATTGAGGCAGGTGAGATCAAAGACTTGGGAGTCCTAGAAGACAATCACCTTCTATAACAAGTGGCAAAGTAGCTGAGTGCTGGCATGATCGGAAAGCAAAGGATTTTTCATGTTTGGGAGCTAAAAATAGCCAGATATGTTGATCCAAGATGGGAGGTAGGAACTGAGGTGGTGGGAAGTCACAGGTATCTCCCAAGGAGCTCATTTTTAGAACTGCATAGGAGGTATATGCTATAATCATCATAGCATGCAAATGAGTAGGTGCAGGACTAAGCCAAGCAAGTCTGATTGTGAGGGGAATTGAGACTTTGCTGGATTTATTGTTTTTGGAAATGCTGTAGTCTAAGGACAGTCTAAAAAGCCAAGTCATTATGAAAATAATAGGACTCAACAGGGGTGGTAGATATCAGAACAGGGAGCCCAATTTCTCCTGGGAGATGGTTAGAAAGTGAGGAAAGACCTGGCCCTCCCTGGTGGAGTAACGGGTAAGCTAGCTGCAGCTGCTTCAGTGTGTGTTTTATTCCGAGTCCCTGAGGTGACCCACATGGTGCAGCAGACCTCTCCTGACCCGCCCGCTGCTCCCCTCAGCAGTGTACTTCCTCGATCTGCTTGTTCTGCTCCCCACTCTGTCTCTGGTGAATCCTCTCACTGCCCCTGCACTTCCCGCTTGCACCCCAGTTCTATATGCATAAAATCTTTAGAAGAAAAAGAAAGTGAGGATATCGTAACTATCTGGACAGAGAAAGAATATTCAGAGCAGAGAAGCAGCATGTTCTTGAGTAGGAGGCATTCAGAAGCCAGAGTTTTTGTGAGAGAGAGAAACAGAGTACAGTTTGAAGGTGAGGTTGGACCCCGGCAGCGACGCCATCACGAAACCTAGCGGATCGCTGGGCTCCGCACTTGGGCACATGTAGATTGGAAGGCGATGGGAAAGCTTCAGCAGCTGAGGAATATGACCAGCTGAAGAACATGACCAGCTTCGTATTTTAAGTCAGGCAGGGGAGCAGTGAAAATGTGGGAGGAGACACGTTTGAAATTGAAACACACCATGTTGTTCTCTGTTATGCCAAGAGAGGATACTCCCTGAAACGAGAACAGTGTTTTTCCATCAGAACAGATTCTGCCCTGCACAAGTGTGTGAGACATACTGCCTAAGGGAATTTGTGTGGCGGGCGGGAGAGGTGCTGCAACTATCCAGGGTGCCGAGGCCTGAGATACTTCCGGGTGTTACACCATGCTCAGGTGAACATGATTCTCTGCAAAGAATCATCCAGAACAACACGTCGAAGATGCTGAATTGAGGAGCCCCGGATTAGCGGAAAATCAGAAACAGGACTGTAAAGATTTAAGCAAAGATTAGGGAAGATAGGTGGGATTATTCAGTATGAATAATGGGTTAGGAGGATTCCAAGTTTTCGGAATTAACCAAGCAGGAAGAAGGGAGTGAATTTACTTAGGTTAATTATGTGTATGTGTATGTAGGTATGTGAATATATGTATATATCCTTCCTAGGGAAGAATAAAAGTTCAGTTGCTTTTTTTTTAAGATTTATTTATTTATCTATTTATATATATGTATGTGTGTGTGTGTGTGTATCTCCTTC